GTGCTCCTTGATGATCTTCTCAAAGAGTTTCCCCAGGAATCAACCAGCTCTTGATCAATCAGTGCAGTCTTCCAGGCACTATCCATCATCTATAAATTGTCATTCATGCCAGGACGCATGGTCCTGACCTTCCAGCTTCCCAGTCAGAAGGTTTTAAGGTTTCTTTTCTTGTTGCTTGGTGCTTGATTTGCCATCTGTTTTTTTACTTTTGGTCTAGACCCATGTACCGAATGAGGCAGGCAGACCATGGTGGGTCAGCACCTTACTGGCTGGGGGCTGCCCAGTGTAAGGCCAGCAGTAGCTGACCAGTGGAATACAACTGGTTCCTCCCACTGATTAAGGTGATCTGTGGTGCTCTACTCTATGCCATTTCAGTTGAGCTTATAACGCATGACTCCCTTCTTCTGTGTTGTGCCCATGCATGTAGCAAAGATGGAGTATCCTCTCTTTTCACTTTTGGCTGCAATGGCCTGGGCAATTGATATGGAGACACTTGAGTTGCCTATATATCAATGTCCCCCTTTTGGCTTAGCTGGTTGATTCCAAAGGAATGGCAGAAGCCAGTACATTTGGAGCCAGCTTGGCTTCAGGAGATGCCAGTATGAAAAAAAAATTTAATCCGTACATCTTTCGGGGCTCTGCTCCTAGACAGGCTGCCAATCAAGGCTGGAGAGCACAGTCTATCCTGCCATGGCTTCCGCCTTTTGGTGGCATTTCTTCCACCAGGGGTAAGGACTAGTATCCCCCTCACCCCAGCTGCTCCTCTGCTTGAAGCTGCTGGCACCATACAGATTGCTAGGATATCTTCTGCCGCACACCTCTCGTTGACAGCTGCAAGTATTACTGTCTACTGTCATAAGGGTAGCAGACCTGGCCTGGTCTGACCTGAATATGTACAGAATATGCTTCTTTAAAGAGAAAAAAAAATCTCTTTAAAGAAGCATATTCTGTACATATTTATATAATCCAAGATATGAATACCACTAGGAAATTCTAACAATGTACTCCAAGAATTAAAGAACTAGAAGTTTGGAGACCTGAATACATTCCTCATTTCACCAGTAACCTACTCTGAATCTTTAGACAATGCTTTATTAACAATGTATAAAGTAACAAATGGGCAAAATTGTAAGAAGCACATTACAGTTAATGAAGTTCTATATCTAATGGTATATGCCCAAGATTTGCTGTATCTCTGTGTATCATACCCAGAAGCACCCCATAGACAGACATACACTCAATCTTTCTTCTCATCCCACATCAAAATATAAACTCCCTAACAAACCAATTCTTTTTTCTCCTGTACTACTAATACTATAGACAAGTCACTTAACCTCACTGGTTTTCTATTTTAGCAAAATTAGTACCCATATCCCAACAAGAATGAAGAGTGCCAGCAAGAGTGAAGTTGCCCCTGTGTTAAACTGCTGGCACAGAACTCCCCCAAGTATATTTATATAATCAAGTTATGAAAGGCAAGGTTATAATAGGCATATCGCTTATTCCTCACTCATAATCAAAGGATGAGGGATGATGAAATGTGATACTTAGCAGGCTTGCTTCTAATTCTCAGAATATGGCTGTAAAGTTTATATGATCAATGACATGTCTACTAACAGCTGCAATTCTTGCAAATTATTGCAAGGCATAAAATTAAGAAACACGTGGATTTCTGTTTGAAATTGTGGACTAGAGTGTTACTCAGAGTTGTACACCATGCCAGCCAGGAATGCACCTCCTTCCTTTCTCCTAATTTTATATCTGAGTTGCTGCTTCCTAATTTATATAGATCTGCTCTCCCATCATTCACAAAGGGCATATTTTAGGGAGGAGAGTCCCTAAATCTGTATGTAAACCCTTCCACAAGAATAAATAACAGAGATTTAAAAGTGAGCAAGAATTTAATACATCAGCTGTTCCACAGTAACTGTGTGTGCATCCTCTTAATCCATAGTAAATGAAATCTCTAAATCCCCATTCCTCTTAACCTTGAAGTAACTTGCTCATTGGCTCCATAGTACAAAATTCAAACTCTGGATGGGAACTTTCAAATTCAAGAGGACAAGACACTGTTTGTAAATGTAACAGAACTACCTCATTTTTCTCTAGAGAACTTAAAGTCCTATTAAGTATAAATACTTTGTATGGGAAACATTTGGAATAATTCCTTCTAATGGTAAAGATACACATATTAATACAATTCAACTCTCATACTATAGAAAAATTCCAACTTTCTATTACTCCTCTGAAAATTTGGGTCTGAACAGTAGAAAAAAAGGAAGTAATGGAGATAAAAGAAAGATGACACACAAAGCAGAATAGAGCATTTTAAAAATTACCAAAGAGGTACCAAGGTATGTATATTTTTAAAAACAAAACCAAACAGAATCCCATAAGTCTTGATGAAATAATATATTTTATATATACTTTTAATGAAAGTTGTTCATACCTCCAACATCCTGGAATGTGACAAGAACATTCATGTGTAATTAGAAATTTGATATTATTTATCCTTCTTTTCTGCTTCAAATATTTAAACAAACTAATATGAAGCTATAACATAACAAATTTGTTACTTGGTCTATTTTAATTATCAACTTCATATGCTTTTTTTCTGCTGACTATATTCTGTTTAACCAGAGGAAGCAATTTTAGCTTTTATAACATAAACCATCAGTTCAATTAACGCTATCAACTTAGGTGATATATGATTTATTTCTCCTAAGCTAAATGTGTTACGAAAAGAATGACAGTTATGATATTATATGTATTTTTTCACAATACAGTTTTGCAAGTCATGCTTGGAAGCAGACTCACTTTAATTTCCTTCAAGAGCAGTTTTGAATTAAATTACATCATTTAGTACAGGTTTGAAAATTAATTTAGCATACAAGTCATTTGCACCTTAAACTCCATTACTTTAAGAGGGTCTGGGGAAAAGTTAATATCAACAGAGTAGAGAAATGAAACACAAGTACATGTTTTGAGAAGTGGATGGGTCAGAGAAGTGGTAATGGAATTCTGAGCCTTTTGTTTCCAAGTCACTGATTTTGTTATGGCCTGCATCAGTAATAACTCAAGTTGTTACTATAACTTAAATGCTGGCCAATTTGTTATTAGTTTGTTGGTCCAAGTCTAGCCCCTAATGAGCAAAATCTGTATTAAAAATATATATATAGCTGGAATTCTTTCTGGAAGAGAGACTAAGATTAAATAGGGAGAGAAAGCATTACCTTCTCTTTAAAAGAAGAACTTCTTTCAGGTGAGGTTTAATACATGTATAGTAATGCAATTAGATAGTTATAATTGCAACTAAAGATGGCACAGCATTTTAGTAAAATATTTTTTACTGTATCAAAAATGTGCCATAAAAATTCATCTAAATTTGTTGGGATGGTAATTTTGTCATTCAAACAGAAAACTTCCTGAATCATAGGCAAAGAATTAGAAAGGCAACATACTGCTGAATGAGGTAGCTAATGAAAATCTGAAAGAGGAAGAAAAATATTTGTTAATGAAATTTGAAAGTGTTACAAAAGTAAAAGGCAATTAAAATATCATTACAAAGAGAGACACTTAGAAACATGGGCCCAAAATAACAAATTCCAATTTTATGCAAAATAAAATCATAGCCCATGTGCCCAGTAGTGGTAAAAATTAACTCTTTAGAAAGAAGCATTACATGGACATGTAGCACAACTGTCAAAGGGCAAATATATTCCAGTTAAAGCACATGAGAAGGCTGTGGGAAAGCAGACTTAAGTAACAGCTTTAGCTTCCCCAAATATAGCACAGAGAGATTACCAGAACTAATGGAGATGGTTTAGCAGAATAATGTTTTATGTGAAAAGGATTAAAGAGCTAAATATTATAGTTTGCCTAGGAAACAAATGTAATGGATTGGAACTAGTTTTCAAACACCCAAACGGAATAAATACCAAGATGATAAAAAATGATGGACTATGGTACATAACACAAATAGGCTGAATAGCTAGGGATATTCTTGCGGTTGTTCTAACTTGTGCTGGCTGACTATGAAACTCAAAAAGATCGTCAACCAGCAAAGGATTGCAAGAGAGCAGAAAACAATTAGCAAGCCTCTGTGCCGTGCATCAGGAGCTGCAAGGGGGCATGGGAAGCTATCAGTCAGCTCTTCCAAATTTATGTCAGCTGGGGGAAATCATCAGCTACTGAGAGTCATAACTTTTCCATCCTTTTGAATGGGTGAAAGTTGGCCCAGGAATTCTGGATTATCTTTTCATTAAAAGATAAACACCACCTCCAGTACCTTGAATTACTACAGTTAGGTTACAGACCACTTACTGGTTCTTCTGATTTAAGTGATATTTCCCCAAAATTTTTCCCTTCCTGGTTCTGTATAAATAATAGTTATTAAAAAAATTTCAAACAATCTGCACAATGAAAAACTGTACCTAGATCCAAATCTGCAAGATTATGAGAATCACCACCCCCTTTGTTTTTGGCAGAGAATTGTTAGCATATTGAAGGATGATGCTCATGAAGTTTAACAAGCACCTACCTATAAACTGTAGGAAGGAAGTTCATATTTACCTGCTTTACATGCACAAAACACACACATTCCAGTCGTGTTGTCAGGAATGCTTGCCCACAAACAGCACACACATGTTTTTCAGAGAGCAGATTGCCCACTTCTGGATTCTGTTTGACTGCTGTCTGTAGAACAGAATCCTTTTCATTTAGCTCTCTCAAAATAAATCTTGCCGCCATTTCCTGGATTGAGACATGCAGAATAGAACTCTTGAAATATTTCAAACAATAGCAAATATTAGTTCAAAATCAATACTACTTTGCCACCTAAATTGGAATAATGACTAATCCTGATACTGGAAACCATTTCACGCATGTAAGTAACAGTCAACAAGGTACAAAAAAGGCCAAGAAATCTGTCAGTTCTGGAGCCAAGCAAGAAACAGCTTTCCTAATCCATAAAATGTATTCAGATTTCAAAAGTTTCCCCGTTTGACGTACTGATGTAAGCAAAACCTTGCAAAGTTTTTTTCACACAAAGCAGGGAGAAAAATAGTAATCCCCCCTGCCATATAACTAAAAGCCTAACTGGAGGGAAATGGGAATCAAGCAGAACAGGAACTAGAGGCTGGATTTCCCAAATCCTAGATCCACAGGTTACACAAGCAGGCTGGCATCTTTTTCTCTTACCCTGAGAAAACATAGAGAAAGATACTTATATGTTTCTCATGAAGTCTCAGGTTTCTTGTAACAAATAATTTTGTTAAAAAATTCCTGAGCAGTTTTCATTGCACTTACAAACTTGTTCTGGATAGAAGCATTCACATGCAAATCTATTAAGAAAATCCAGGCCTACAGTTTTTGTTTTACATTTTCCTGCTTAAATTTACAGATTTTATCCTTGAGACAAGTTGTTGTATGTACAGAGGATAAGTCTAATCAACATTTTCCAAACTGTCTTTCTGTTCTGCCTTTCTTTCTATGAGAGGAATCTCCATGAAAATTATTTCTGTGTGAGAGACTGATTCTTATGCACTGTATCTCTTTTGGCTAAAAGCAAAAAACAGCTCCTAATATTTTTGCTAATGCAAGGCAATGGAGATAAATTGATCGCTATCTTCTATATAACACAAACTTTTACTTATTTGGAAGCCTGTTATGGCTCCTCCTCAGTCTTTTCTTTTCTAGACTAAATAAACCCAATTCCTTTAACCTTTCTTTGTGGATTATGACTGCTATCGTGTTATTCTTGTTCTCTGAACTCTATCCATGAGGAAAAGATCAGCTTTTTTATACAGAGCACTTAACCACTGATTCACTTAACAGCCATTCTTTAAAAACAAAATTATCCATTTGTAATGGGATTAGAAAGTGAAAGTTGTTTGATCTGTTGGTTTTCACAGGCAGTTTGTCACTGTAATAGAAATTCTTCTCCGTTCATATCTGGGTTTGCACTGCAGAAGGCTCATTGTTGAGACCTGCTTATTTGGGGGGAGCAAGGTCTAATTCCCAGTGACTCTACTGTACTACAGTTATATGCTAGATCAAGGGTATGCAAGTTTTTAGAGTGACAGGCTGCCACATCTGACCCACCATGGCTCCCCTCTGTAGTGCCTCCCCATGCAGCACCCAGGCCACCTACCACGGCTTCCACCACAAGCTCCCACTTCCACTTTGTACTGATCCCCATCCCAGTTGGCACTGTATGACGGTGAGCAATGATAGTGAGTGGCACATGCCATAGGGGACAAGGGACAGTGGCGGGAGTGCAAAGGGCACTGCAGGGGGCATTGATGGCACAGTCCAGGACAGAGAGGGAGTACACATCAAGCCAATCTGCAGGCAACTGATACCTTATGCCACGCTCTGGGCTGGATCCCAGAGACTACAAGAGCACAGTGTGGACCAGGGCAAATCACCCCTGAATGCAAGGAAGCTGGCAGCAGATTCAGCAGTGGGGGGACAGCGTCAAGCAGCCAGACATGAAGCTGGCAGCAGCGTGGAGTCGCCATGGCCACTCTGCCTTGCTATGTGGGGCCCCCCAAAGTGCAGGGCACGAGGCGGTTTTCATAGATTCATAGATTGTTAGGGGCTGGAAAGGACCTCGCAGATCACTGGGTCCAGCCCTTCCACTCTAAGCAGGAAGACAACAGGGTTCAAGTGACCCCAGCGAGGTGACTCTCCAGTCTCCCCTTGAACACCACCAGGATTGGTGACTGCACCACCTCTGGAGGGAATTTATTCCACAGTCTGGACACCTTAACTGTGAAGGAGTTATTCCTGGTATTAAGCCTGAAGCAGCCTTCCAGAAGTTTATATCCATTGGTCCTGGTCTTCCCCAGCGGTGCCCTAGTGAACAGTTGTTCACCAAGCTCCTGATGCACTCCTCTGATATAGCATTAAGCCGCTATCAAGTCCCCTCTCAACCTTCTCTTCTTTAGGCTAAAGAGGCCCAGGTCCCTCAGCCTTTCCTCCTATGGCTTGCCTTGCAAGTTTCTGATCATACGGGTAGCTTGTTTCTAGACTCTCTCAAGTTTTTCCATGTCCTTATTGAAGTGCGGCACCCAGAACTGGACACAGTACTCCAACTCTGGTCTCACCAGTGCTGAGTACAGCAGGAGTATCAGTTGCTTAGTTTTATACAAGATGCATCAGTTGATGCATGGCAGCATGTTGTTTGCCCTGCTGGCCGCCGCCTCACACTGACGGCTCCTGTTCATGCGATGGTCAATTATTACCCCTAGGTCCCTTTCAGCCGTGGTGCAAGTCAGGCTGTCACCTCTGAGACTGTATATATGTTGAGGGTCATTTTCCCCCAGATGGAGCACCTTACACTTGGAAGTGTTAAACTTCATCTGGTTCCGGTCTGCCCAACTCTCGAGCCTGTCCAGGTACACCTGTGTCAGCAACCTATATTCTGGCCACACTGCCCCATAACTTGGTGTCATCCACAAACTTGGCCAGCAAGCTTTTCACTTCCCCATCCAAATCATTGATAAAGATGTTGAAAAGCACCGATTTAGACATGGACCCCTGAGGGACACCACTGGCCACTTCACACCAGGATCACACAGATCTGTTCATAAGAACGCTCTGTGTCCTACTCTGTAGCCAGTTTCCCACCTCAAGCAGCTAAGCCCACAATTTTCCAGTTTTCCTACAAGGATATTGTGAGATAGTAGGTCACAGGGGCAATCTGTAGTGGGTACATGGGAGTGCACCTGCACACCTGAGAGCGCCAATGCACCCCCTATCCGGCCACAATCCCTGTTTAGCCAGTGGGCAGGGGGGCATGAGGGAGCACCAGTGTCCCCCCTGCGAGTGCTGGTCAGGAAGTGGGGCTGCCTGCTTCCAGAAGTGGCCACGGGAGTTCCAGAAGCGGTGCAGCAGCTTTTCAAGTGAGTTCAGCCGCGGGGGACTACCCCCTCAGCCAGCAAGATCAGCTGCCGGGGGACCCCCTGCACCTCTTGGCCAGCGGGAGGTCATCATCCCTAAAAGTGCTGGTGACTTGAGGACCATCCCTAGCTTCCACTGTGCATGCACCTCTTTTTTCTTCTTTAAGAGGACTGCAATGTTCCTATTAAACGAGGAAGGCTTCCCAGCCCTCCTGCTACCTCTCCTCTTTGCAGGAACAGTGTTGTTTTGTGCTTGGAGGATCGTCTCCTTGAGCAACGACTACTCTTCATGCACCCCACCGGCCTTCCCTTCCTGGTCCTTCATCACCTCCCCACCTAACGCTCTGAGCCTGTCGAAGTCAGCATTTTTGAAGTACAGGACTTCAATCCTGCTGGATGATTTGTCAACCTTGCGGCAGACAGAGAACATGTTAATTTCATGGTTGCTGTGGCCCAGGTTACCCTCAATGTTTAAGCCACAAACCAGATTATCTCCCTTAGCCAAGACCAGGTCTAGGAGAGTGTTATTTCTGGTTGGCCCTTGCACTTCCTGGGTCAGAAAGAGCTCCTCACTTGCCCTGATTTGCACCCCCCCCAGGGACAGCCTTGCTGGATCCAAGCACTTCGTAGGCTGGATCTGACCCCTGGGCCATTGGCTGCTGACTCCTATGCTAAACAGTATAGCACAGACCTGCCCATGTGGCCAGGTAGCACATGCTATAGTATAAATCATTGCTTTAATATGCACTGAGCTTGAGAATATAGTCTGAGAATCAAGAAACTTATGAAGAGCCAGTCCCACTAAAACTACCATATTTACTCAAAGCTAAGACAAAGATTTTGTCCCCCAGTCAGCATGGGGGGAAACCCCTATTAAATTTGCATACAAAGTGGAGGGGTGGGGTAGGTAGCTGCTGCAGCTATGACTCTGGTCCTGAGCCCAGGACAGGGTCAGAATCAGACCCACGGCAGCCTCATCCTCCCCATCCACTTGCCCTCTGCAGCTTCTTTCCCCCTTCGCTGTCAGGTGAAGCTCAGCACCAGCTTGAATTGGGTTCCCTCCTGGGCACAAAGCTCATGGAAACTCTGTCTCCTGCCCAATCAATCAGCAGTGCCAACATTGCTGCATGGCCCCCTGCCCAACCAATCAGCAGTGCCAGGACTGCTGCATGGCTGGCAGAGGCTGAGCTTCCACATGCTTCCACATGCTGTGCTGCTCCTAAGCAGCATCTGACAGTAAAGGAAGGGAGGGGAAAACGGCAGAGACTGGGAAATGGGGAAAGGGGCAGAGATTGTGTGGAATGAGAGGGGAGGGGACTGGAAGGCTGCGAAGTGTTAGGGGGAAAAAGGACAAAGGGTCTATCTGATCCCCCCCCCCTCCAGCTTTCCCTGCTGCAGCAGTTCAGGGGGAAGAAATTAAGACAGCCCGCTGATAATTAGATTCTAAACCTGGAAAATTATAACAAATTTATAATTTTTCTATATATAGAACCTAATTATTGGGGGGTTGCCTTAAATTCAGGGTTGACTTAGATTTGAGTAAATACTCACAAACATAAATGTAAATAAATTGTAATAGCAAATTTAATAGTGAAATACAAATAAGATATAAATGACCCAACAGCACAGGTAACGCATATCAAGCAAATAAATTAAATATATGAAGTGCACATTTAGCTAAATTCATAACAACCTTATTTATATTTGAAAGCAAATTAATCTTAAAATTTGTAAGTCTTAGGGTCTTAAAAAGCCTTTAGCAGGTAGCTAGCTTGTTAGGGAAAAGGACTTCTCACCTAGGTTTCAAATTAAGTTTTAAAAGACCTCTTATCTTAGTTTATCTGCAGA